GGGTGTGTGGCGGGAAGTGGGTAAGCCCCACTGAAACTGGCCCTGGGCCCCCCCACCAGGACTGCTGCGGCCCCACTCCGGCAGGCTAACAAGACGTCGGGAGACAATGTGGAAACAGAGATGGCAGGCTCCTGCAGGGCACGTGACTCTGCCATGCAGGTCCTCCACCCTGAGGGCAGCACAGCCACTGCGCTGCCGGGACGGGTGCGTGCTGGGCCACACCCCTCCGTGTTGGCACCCTGGAAACATCTGCTCGGGGCCCCTCCTCCCGCAGGCACCGAAGAGCTTCTTCTTACCTGAGGCAACAACGGTGCTTGCCCACAGTGTGTTCTCTATGCCGAGACTTTCGTGCACAGGCGGGTCAACCTCCTCCGACGGCTGCTGCTGAGACGTGTGCCCCAAGCCCGTCCAGCCGGCCACAGGCGTCGCACGCCGGGCCGGGAGGGCGCGGAGTGGGGGCTGGCGGGGAGCAGAGCTGGCGAGTGGAGCGCGCACAGTCACCAGTGGGACCCAGGGCCTGAAACTCGTGCCGGCAAGTGCGGGCATGCCGGGACCCAGGAGGAGGCGTGGGGAGGAGACTGCAGGCCGCCTCCACAGGGTGCTCTCGTGCTCTCCTCTGTCTCCCTCTGGTGAGCCCACACACCCTCTGGCAAATTAATAATGACAAAAAAGTAGAATGCCATTATCAGTCCATTATTTTAGTGTTTATTTAATGTAAGTGAAATGACTGGGACCGTCCATGAAGGCACTGCAGCACGTCAGGAGGACAGGCCAAGTTCGCGGTTTCACAGCACGCCAGCCCTTGGGGAGGGGGGGAGCAGGGGCGCATCTCAGACCGCCCCACCGTCTCCACGCATAGGGTTCGCGCTCTCCTGCTGGGAAAAGGCTACCTCCTCACTCAGGAGGGGAACCCTGCTGTGTGATTCTCACAAACATGCACATACTGCATTCCTCTTTAAACTGCCTTGCTGTTACCTTGGGTACTTGTCATTAGAAATTCAACTACATGACCATGGTCTGGGTCTTGGATCCAGTGGCTTAAAACTCATACGGGCTGTGTGTGCGCCCAAGAACCCAGGAAGAGGGTGGAGAACGAGCTGCGACGAGGCCATCCCCCAGGGGTGATTTCTCACCCCCTCACCGGCTCTTCCTGTCTCTTCTGTGCACACACATGCCCTACAGGGGAAATCTCTAAAAAAATAAATAATGATTTCAAGTCAGGCAACAAGTCACTGACTATGTGCTGACATCAACCGCGGCCACAGGGCAACTCAGCAGCAGTGCCCCCCAGCTAGTCCTGCCCTTTCTCGCTAAGGTGCACTGAGAGAGAAGTGCTCCATCTGACCTCTGTGACTGTCCCTGCTTCCGCTGGGTCAGAGCCTGTACCGGCTCACGAGAGCACTGCTAGACAGACAGCCACGAGGCCCACTGCCCTGTGTGGGAGGGTGCCATGGCGCACGGCCTCCCTGGCAAGAGCTGAAACTCCTGCTCACAGTCCTGAATGCGGGGAGAACTGCTGAGGGTGCTTGTCCTCCCACTCCCTCCTGTCGTGGAAACGCACATGTAACCTAGAACAAAACAAAGGGCCGGCCACTGCATGGTGGTCAGGGCAGCTGGCCCTCACGTGGCGGACTGCACAGGGCACAGTGCACAGCCGGACCAGGCACCTTGAAGAGACAGGCTGGGTGCGTGGGAGCCTGCGCGAGACCCAGGAGGAGAGTGAGGGGAGCAGGGGCTGTGGCAGGGCCCCGCCCGTGGGCGCTTTCTCACTCTGCCCTCCCTCCCTCTGGCAAGCAATGTACCTTCTCACAAATTGCGAAAAACAGAAAAGCAGGTGCTCCACTCACACACCCTTGGTTAAAGACGTGTGCCTACTGTGTGCCCTAATCTGCCATAAGGAAGCATGTGCCTACTGTGCGCCCTGGTCCACTGA